CTGTGCCAGTCTGTGTCTTTTGATTGGTTGAGACCATTAGCATTGGGCTGGGGACTTAGCTCAGCAGCATAAGCACCTGCCTTGCAAGCAGGCAGTCGTGAGTTCGATCCCTGGTACCGATAAAAAAAAAAAAAAGTTAAAAAAAAAAGAGATCATTAACATTGATTGTTATAACTGATTTGCATTGACTTATTGTCATGTTATTTTCCTGTTTTGGCCTTGCCTGGCAAATTTCTTCTATTGGGTTTCACAGAATTGTGCATCCTCTTATCTCTTTCTAGAATGTCCTTCAAAACTTTTTGGGGTTCTGGTTTGCTGGTCATAAATTTCCACGGTAGTTCTTTGTCATGGAAGTATCTTACTTCTCCATCAGTTTTAAAGGATAGTTTTCTGGGGTACATTAATCTCAGTTGGAGGTTGTGTTTTTTTAGAGCTTGAAAAACTGCCCTCCAATCTCTTTGACTTGAGAATTTGAGATGAAAAAATCATCTGTGATTCTGATGGGCTTGCCTTTATAGGTGATTTGTTTCTTTTCCCTAACAACTTTTAATATTCTGTTCTTGTGTTGAATTTCTGGATTATAATATGCCTGGCTGTAGGTTTTTTTTATCATGAGTTTTATATGCCTCAATTTTCTGCATGTCAAATGCTTTTTTTCTACCAGGGAAGTTTTCTGTCATGATGTCTTTGAACAGTTTTTGTTTTTATATGTGTGCTGACTCCTACTTTTTCATTGACTTTAGTCAATCTTAGGTTATTCTTCTTTATATTATCTAGCAGTTGCTAGATAATATAGCAGCTTAGATTGATTTCTCATGGGCCCTTTCTATTTTCATTAAATCTTTCTTTTCATGGTCACTAACCACAAGCCTGTCTTCAAAATCTGAGATTATGTCCACGCATTGGCTCATTCTGCTGTAGATACTTTCAATGGAAATCTTCTTCTCTTGCATATCTTCCTGAATCTGTCTTATGGATTCCATTTCTTTCCTGTTTGGGCAATCATGGCTTTTCATCATTTTCTTAAGCTCCTATATTTTTTTAATCTGTATCTCCTCTAGAGTCACTGAGCATAGTTTTCATTGTAGATACCATTTCTGTACTTATCAGAAGAATTATTTCTGATTTGCTTTTTTCTAAAGCTTCATTGAATTGCTTTGTTGTTTCCTCTTCAGAGAGGTGAGGTAGGTGGCTTAATTCCTTGGTCAATGCTCGTAAATTGCCTATGGAGAGTTGCTTTATGATTTGTATTTAAAACTCTTAGAAAATGAATACTTCTCAGAGATGTTGTCCAGAAGTAGCTAGTTTGAGTCTGTTGCAAGATCCTACCTCTTCAATCTGTTGGAAATGAGAAGTTGCTGCCTGCTTGACTTAGCCCGTGGTTCTTTGACACTGGCCCACAGTCCCTTCCAAGACCTTTTGGCAGTCTTTGTCTTAGAACGCCAGGGAAAACAGCCAGGTAGAACAATTATGCTATTCCTGGCTATAAAGTAGCACCACCACCAACAACAATAGCATCAAACACAGCCTAGAAATTGTCAAAGTGAGGTAACCAATATTTTACCACCTTTAACCACATGAACCAGCTGTGTGGTTATATAACAAAAGCTAAAACAAACTAGAAAATTATACACAGTGTACAAATCCTTAAAATATCAATTTTACCCTCAAGGGTTAAAATTTAAAAGAGATTAAGAAAAAATAGAGAAGTAGAAGAGGAGGAAGAGATTAGATGTAAGGTTAGAGGACTAAGTATCACACTTACTTTGTAAAACTAGTGCAGTAGACCAAACGGAAAGAGAGAACAAAGAAATAAAAGAAAAACAGAACAATAACCACAAAGAGACTATGTTGAGAGTCATATAAACATAAGATAAAACATTGAAGGAGAAACAAAAAATTACTTCCAGGTCTCTCTCTGCTGTTGCTGGTACACAATATGTGGAAACAATCAAGATCTGTGTTGATTTATCCCAGCAAGCCAGCAGTAGCTGTGTGGCAGAGTACTAGATAATCCCAGTGAGCCTACACCTTTATTTCGCCTGGAGTTCAGGCTGTATTCTGGCTGTGAGGGCCAAGACCAGACTCATTTAGCCTGGAGCAGTCAGTGTCCCTTATGAGAGCCTGAACTCAGCTAAATGGATCCACTAAATGGATCCAGCAGTTGTTCTGAGTCCTGAGCTCAGCCCTCTTCAAGATGGTTCCTTCTACTGACACTCTCCCATGGGATGACCAACCCCCCTGAGCCAGCACAGTCCTCTATTTGCTATCTCCCCTCGACTGCTGCATCTCTCCGTGGAGACCTCCAGCACCACTAGTAGTTACTGTATGTCCATAGACCCAGACCACTCCTCCCATACAGTGAGTCCTGACTCAGGAAGAGGGCTTCACCAGCTTCCTCCTTCTCCTCTGTTGAAGTTTTTCTCTTCACTCACTCTCCCTGTAGGCTTTAATTCCTCTTCAGATCCTTCCTGGGTCTAGGGCATCCAGTTCCCTCCTATTTGTCTTCCTCACATTGCTGTATTCCAGTGTCTGAATGGCAACTCTCAGAAAAGTGCTTTCTCTGCTGCTTACTCCTGCACCATCCTCCAAGGCATATTTTCTAATAACTCTACCTTTTTTTTTCTCCATCATCAGTCTGATAGTACTAATATAACTGACGTAAAATTTTTGAAGCTTTCTTTATTCCTGTGATTCTGAATATAATTTTCCAAGTCTTCTGTTTGTCTTAAACCAAAACCTATCATTCTTAGCATTTTTCAACAGTCCAGGTTTGCTTTAAACTCAGTATGTAGCCTGGGCTAGTCTCGAACTCACCACAGTGATCCTACTGCTTCAGCTTCCAGAGTGCTGGTATTACAGGCATTTCTTGCCTATTATCTTGAAATTAGTCTCAGTCATTTGTTTCAGCTTTAAATCTCCGTTCTTCTTATAAATTTTTTTTTTTTTTGGTAACAGAACTCAAACTCATGTCCTCACACTTGCCAGGCAGGTGCTTATGCCATTGAGCTAAATCCCCCGCCCCCTCCATTCTCCTTTTTTGCCTTCAAGTTCCAAACCCTTTTGGAAGCTGCTTAAAGCTACTTTTGGGTCATCATTTTTAACCCTTTTGAATTATAATACTGATTTTCCAAATCCACTTTTGGCTCAGAATTACTATATTCAGTATATTCCAGGTCATAATCTTCCTCATAATCTCCTACTTTTTTTATTTAATGTCTTTTTAAAGTTGGGGTTTCACTGTACTGTTGGGGCTGGGCCTGAACTCACTTTGTAGCCCTGGCTGGCCTCGAACTGAACAACAGTGTTGTGATTATAGGTGTACATCACCACACCCAGCCTTCTTCCTTTTTATGTTTGAGACATAGTCTTACTTCAGTGTATATTGGACTCATGATTCTCTTTCCCTCAGCGTCCCAGAGTGTGGGGATTACTGGCAGGCACCGCCATACCTGACTGTAACCTTTGTTTCTTTTTGAGTTGACATGTACTTTGCCAAAGTGATATTCCTTTGTAGAGAACATGGCTAGATTGACTATAGGCTGAATCAATAGATTATTTTAGTGTTTTATAAACTGCTTTTGAACTAGTACATTTGGAAGCATGAAATTCTTAGAGCTGCTCAACTATGCTAATTTTTGAGACAGGGTCTTCCTAGGCAGTTCAGGCTCAATTTGCAGCCCAGGCTGATCTCAAATTGGCAACAGTCCTCCTGCCTCAGCCTCCCTAGTGCTAGTATTACAAGTGTGCACCGCCTTTCCCAGCTTGTAATTACTTTTTATAACAGCTTGAAAATGTAATTCATAACCATCTGCTTGAAGTGTGTGGTTCAGTAGTTGTATCTTAGCCTACTCACAGAGTTGTACAAACATCATAATAAATTTTAGAACATTTTTCCCTAAGAAAAACCTTATACTCATTAGCAGTCCACTCTCTATTTCCCCTACATCATTCTATGCAAACTTTAATTAAACTTTGGTCACTATGAATTTCCTATTCTGGTAATTTTGTGTAAGTAAAATGATATAATATATGATCTTTAGGGACTAGTTTCTTTCACGCAACATTTTTCTAGGTTCATCCACATTGTAACATGTTTCTGTGTCCTTGTATGGCTGAATAGTATTTCATTATATGGATATTTCATATTTTATCCGTTTATCAGCTAGTGGACATTTGAATTTTGACTATTATGAATAATACTTCTATTAAAAATTCATGTACAAGTTTTTGTGTAGACCTGTGTTTTCATTTTTCTTGGGACATACCTAGGAATAGAATTGCTGGATCATGTTTATTATGTATATTATATTTAAAGAAATGCATGTCCTTTTTTTGTTTACTTGAGCTTTTAGTAACCTATTTAAGAAAGCATTGCCTAACTTGTGGTCATGAAGATCACTTTTATATTCTAAATTTTACAGTTTTAATTTCTAAAATTTGGTCTTCTATACATTTTGAGTTAATTTTTATAGCTAAATATGAAGTAGGGCCAGGCACAGTGGTGCACATCTGTAATCCCAGCACTCAGGAAGCTGAGGCAAGAGGATTACTGCAAGTTCAAGGGCAGCCTGGGCTATATAACCCTGTTTCAAAAAAATTAGTAAGTACATATGATATAGAAGTTTGAATTAATTCTTTTGGTTCTGAATATCAGTTTTTCTAACATTATTTGTTTATAATACTATTCTTTTTCCCCAACAAATTGTTTTGGCATCCTTGTCAAAAAACAGTTAATCATAGATGTGAGGGCTTGCAGGTGGTATTTTTAATGTGAATGAAATAATCAGTTTTCTTTGTCTTTTATTGTTACTGTCTTTTTTACAAAGGGTTTCACTATGCATTTCAGAATGATGAACTCAGTATGTACCCAGGTTGGCCTTGAACTCATGGCAATCCTCTGCCCTCAGCCTCCTGAATGCAGGGATTACAGGCATGTGCCACCATGTCTGACCACTGATAATCAATCTTTAAAATGTATGTGTTGCTTTTTTTAATAGGTTACTATTCGAGCATCAATTGGACCACCTCAGTCAAAACCACCAAGTACACCTTCCAGTTCTGCTGCAAGCTCTTCTTCTCTTCAAGTCTTACCTCCAGAACCCGAAAATACAACTGCCAAAAATCTCACAAAATCTTACGCAAACAAAGCTAAGACAACTAAGCTTCAGGCAACTGTGTCCACTGCTAATAAACCCAACACAAGTAAACCGAGTGGAGGTGCAGCTAAATGCAAAAAACTCTCTTACAAGCAAAAGAGACAGCGCAACAGGAAAAATAAACTCAGCATAGCTTTGAAGAACTTAAGGTACGTTTTTATTCCTGATATACAATACTAACTTAATCTTAAGATTTTATTTTCATATAATATACCATACCATAGAACCCACTGGTACGTTTACATGATAATTACTTATGTGGCATAAAAGCCAAATGATTAAAAGGTAACCTTTTGTACCTGCTTAATAGAACTTGAACCTTATACACTGAATATTGTATTTTGTGCTTTTATCTTGTGATAGTTGAATTGGCTGATTTGGTCATTTTTATTCCGAAGAAATACTAACTGGTATTAAATTTTTTACATTTGTTCTAGCATATTGTTTCAAAGCAATTTTCAAAATTATAAGTGTCTATTAAAGGTTATTGATTTAAAATATCTTGTCTTCGGTTCATAAATCATTAATATTTTTGTCCTAACAGTATATTTTATCAATTTTTTGTCTCCATAAGATGTCATCGGGGAATTTACAAGTGCATTGAGTGTCGTACCAAAATCAAAGATTTTGCAAACCACTTTGCTATATTTATCAACTGTAATTTTTGCAAATACAACACTAACTGTAACAAAGCCTTTGTAAATCATATGGTCAGGTAAGTTAAATATGTGAAATGCCAGTCAAAATTGCCATTCAAATCAGTGATAGAGTACTGCTTGGCATGTGCAAGATCTTAGGTTTACTCTCTAGCACTTCCCCGCAAATATCATTCTGCAAGTTAAATTTTTGAAAGCATATGTATCTTATTAGAAGTGACTTTACTTCATCAAAGAGCTAAAATCTAATAAAATGGATCTTCTAGGTTATTCCTTGTACTGTTTTTTAGTGTAAATAAGGGGGCAAAAATTAGAATTGTTAGACTAATGAAATTAGAATAGGCTTATTAAGGAAATGTGTTCTATTTTTAAAGTTCAAATATGAAATTTTTAATGTTTTCAATATATTTACCAAATTAATACATATGACCATGAGTTCTCTGCAAAATGATCACTTTAAGAGGCTTCAGGTATTGTCATGATGCTAAGAACATTATTTTTCCTCCCCTTCTTCTTTTCCTCTTCCTCTCTCTCCCCGTCTCTACATTCTTTTCTCAGCTATCCATCTATCTTTCTGTTCATTCAATGAAATGTAAAATGAGAGACTATAGGGATATTCTAGTCATATGCTGCTGTTGGAAATTTTTTGATACATTGATTCAGCTTATATTATTCTGTGCTAAAAAAAGATTTCAGAACCTGTATTGTAGCCAGGCTCAGTGGCACATGCCTGTCATCCCAGCACTCTAGAGGCTGAAGCAAGAGGATCTCTGTGAGGCCACCCTGGGCTACATAGTTCAGAGTCAGCCTGAACTACATAGCAAGACCCTGTCTCAAAAACCCAAAGAAATAAAACCTGTATAACATTCATTGGGACTTCATTAGAAGAGGTTTAGTCCTTCAATTTGGATTTTTTTAAATAGCCAAAAAGTATTTAGTGTAAATTTAATGAGTTGATTGTTTAAGATAAATGTACTTACTTTCAGTTAGCATTAAGATATAAGGAGTAAAAGTAATTTTCTTGAACATCATAACAAGACCTCTGTGTTACTTTCTTGTCATAGTATGTCACCATTGTGAAGGATTTGCCCATACTTTTTGATGATTTCTGGACCTGACCCTTAAGAGGGTGTTTACCCCTTAATGATCAGCCTGACCTCATGGTACTTTGGCATTTTTGGTGCTAGCACTTTTCATCTACCTCTTAGTTAAGGTATTCCCCATCTTAGCACTATCCCATTTTACCTATCACATGCAATCCTTATTTTGAATTCACATTTCGTATGTCTTTCAGAGTCATGATCCTCTTTTCATTCCAGCAGCACTGTTCATTCAGCTTCATCCTGCCTCGGTGTCGTCTGTTTTGAATGCTGCTGTGTTTTTGTCCTAGAATTCATTACATCATCAATAATGCTTAACCTTGATGTCTTTGAATCTCATCATTTTTGATCTCTCTCTGGTCAATTCTAGAGTAGCAAACTGCTTGATTCAGTCAGCTCTGAATTCATAATCTTTAACTTTAATTTGGTCCTTTAAAAAAATACATCCCTTTCAACATGTCTTTTATGACCTTCAAGTTTTTATGGTAGTCTGTCATTGGTAATGTTGCCTACGTGTCACTTAGAGGCCATTGTTTTTGTTTTTCTTAAGTGTTTTTTCTACCTACAGTTTTTTTTCTCCTTCATCAAGACATTAACATCAGAAAATAGATATGTTCAATTTTTATAAAGTTAATTCTATTCTTCTACTTTTGCATTTCCTGTTTAACATTATTTAGGCATTATGGGCCTTAATTTCATTTCTCTCTCTACCACATTGCCTCTGCCTACAAATATTTTCAGGTATTTTTTAGGATAAAGAAATTTATCTTTATATTTTTTTTGTTTGCCTTCCTTTTATACCATCAATATTTATAAGAAAAAATATTCTTTTGTTTACCCATTATAATTCAAATACCATCCCCACCTACTGCTAAAGCTGCTCCTGTGAAGTTACTCATTAATGTCCTAATCACTAATATGCTTACCTTGAGCATACTAAGCAAGCACCCTATCACTGAGCTATGCTCACTCACTTTTGAAAATATTCTCTTCAACTTATGTTAACCTTGTTACTGCCCATTTTCTTTCCTTTTTGCTGCTCCTCTAAATCATTACTTTTTTTTTCTTTAACCATTCTTATTGATTTTTACTCAGTTTCTTAGTACCTTATCTATTTTCAGAACCTCATATTTTTACTTTTTCACTGTAAATCCTCTAATTTCAAGGCTGACTTTTCCTAAGATCCATTTCTTCATTTCTAACTATTTGATATTTTCACTTTTGACCTACTTTGCATCTATAAAAGAAGTTAAACATTGTTTAGGATTCAGAACACTTTTACCCTGATATTCATTAAGCTCAGTCTATCTCAAAGTATTACTTACATAAATGTAGAGCACTGGCATGAAATAATTCACTGCCCTACGTTTCTAAAGCTCACAGAGTTCTCTTGAAATGCCACCATACATCCTGGTTTCCTAGGATTCTACCTTCTGTAGTATTCTACTCATTTTGCTTTAAACCATACCTCAGCCAACCTTTTCCTCAGTATTCTTCTGGAAACAATGTCTTATTCTGTGCTAAACACATGACTACCCTAATGGGGCCTTAATTCTACCCCTAGTTTATAGAGGACTAAATTGGAAAATATTTTAGGCATTTTTTAAATTTATTTGTGCTACTCAGATTGTCATCACTGTGAAGAAACACCTGAGGTAAACAATTTACAAGGAAGAAAAATTTGTTTTTAGAGATTTCAGTCGATGATTGGCTGGCTCCATAGCATTTTGGGCCTGTGGCAGGACAGCAGATCATGGCACGTGGCATGGTAGTGAAACAAAACTGGTTGTCTCATGGCTGCTGGAATGCAAAGAGAGAAAGGAGTTGAGTTCCCAATATCCCATTAAAGGATATTTCCCCAGTGACCTAACTTCCTTGCCCTAGAACCTACCTCTTAAAGGTTCTACCGCCTCCCAGTTGTACCACAAGATAGCAACCAAGCCTTTAGCACATGAACTTTAGGAGACATTTAAAATCCAAACCATAAAACCATCTCTTTTTTTAATTTAAAGGAAGAAAAAAAGAAAAAAGGTAGAATAATACAGAATTCAAAAATAATAACATCATAAAATCACTAGTTGATATATTACATATTATCTTAAAAATACTTGTTAAAGTTACAAAATCAAAGCATAAAAAGTGGCTGCACACTCAAACATTGATAGTGCAAACCATTCTGTTCAGTGATCTAACAGAAATTTAGTAATACGGTCATCTATCTTACACACTTACACATACAGCATAACTCCATGCATTATCTGTCCTTCACTATCCCATTTTTCATAGACTCCCCAAATGTCTTGTTAGAGCCTCTGATGCTATTCTGTCCTTAGGCATTCTCAATATACTCCAGGCTTTCTTATGAGTTCCAAACCTCCAGTTTTATCCTGTGCATTGAGCTCTTACTCATTATGAACCTCATAAAAAATTGAAAACACATACTTCTCTCTAAAAGCTTTGTTGGGTCCCTTTGTTTTTCCTCTACTTCAGTAGTACCATGTTTCCCTTATTCACTCAAGCAATAACTCCACTGAATGGTTCACTTCACTCCTACCTCTCCTCCCAGTGGGAGCTTTTTCTCATAGACTTGAACTCGGTATGTATAAAAGCTTCATTTTCTGTGAGGTTGATAACCTTTATTCTCAGCCTATATAGACTCTGTTGCTAGAATATATGCCCCCAAAATGATTAATTTTCAAATGATAGCTTCTCAGTATTGAGTATCTAAGGTGGCTTTCTTTTGTTGTTGTTTTGTCGTTGGGTATTTTTTTTGTTTTGTTTTTTTTTGTTGTTATTTGTTTTTGAGATAAGGTCTTGTTCTATTTGTAGTTTAGGCTGCCTTTGAGTATACTATGTAGCCTAGGCTGGCTTGGAACTTAACTGTAGTCCTCCTAAAAGTACCTCACAAATGCTGGGATTATTGGTGAGTATCACCATGCCCAGCTTCCTTATTCTTGATTACTCCCTAGAATGCCCCCTCCTTTATTCTAGGTTGACTTTCCTTGAAATATCTACTCATCACAGCAATTCTTGGGATTATCTCTTTGAGTTATGTAACACCCAGTTATTCTGCCTTATGTAAGTCTGTATTATCTCCTTTAGAGCAAAGTTCTTTGCATTTACCATGGCACCTATTCTGAGGATACTTTCTTGGGATTATAGCTAGCCAAAATCTTTCCTTTTACTATGTATATATACTGTTTTAGTTGCTTTCTCGTTGTGGAAATATAACAGCCAGTACCCACAATTTAAAGGACGAAAGGTTTATTTTGACTCAGTTTGTAGACATTTCAGTCCATAATCAACTAGTTCCAAAGGGAGTGGGGTGGCAGAGGAGAAATAGTTCATGGTAGGCAGGAAGCAGAGCAGCATCAAAGGAGAAGAAAGGCTTCATATCTATACCCTCTCAAGCCATGCCCACAGTGACCCACCTCTTCCTACTAGGCTTCACCTCCCAACATCACACTCAGCTGTAAGTTCATCAATGGACTAATCCAGTATCACATACCTATGATGCAATTAGCTCTCAAAACCCCACCTATGATGGCTTGAGCCTTTGGGGATATCTAGATATAAGCCATATCATTCCACCCCTGGCTCCCAAAAGATGGATGCACATTCCATAAAGCAAAGGGCATTTAATTCATCTGTAAGAGTTGCCAAAGTCCTAACAGTTGCAGCATCGCCAAAAAGTCCAAGTTCAAATTCTCCTCTGAAATATAAAGCAGCCTCTTAGCTGTGAACCTCTGTAAAAGTGGAAAGAAAGTTAAATACTTCCAACATACAATGGCACAAGATAAATATTCCAGTTCCAAAAGATATAATGGGGGGGCTGGGGATTTAGCTCAGTGGCACAAGCACCTGCCTGGGAAATGTGAGATCGTGAGTTTGATTCCTGGTCCCCCCCACAAAGAAAAAGAGTCAATGGGGGGAAACGTACCAAAGCAAAGTCAAAATCCAGAATGGTAACCATTAAATCCCCATACAGTTCCAGGTCCAGCATCAGGACAATCTTTGACAAGATGTGAACACCAAAGAACTTGGGTGGCCCACCCCTGTAACATGGCTAGTGGCCCTCATGGCCTTTTTCTTAGGCCAGCTTTGCTGACTCCTTGCAGCTTTTCTCAGATGATCATATGTTCTGGCTTTTCCAACCTTCTGGGGTAGCCACTTTCAAATTCACTAACTTCACACACTGCCCTCTGGGGACCACTGCCTGGCCTCCCGGGCTTTCTGGCGGAATCTGGATGGAAGCCTCCATTGCCTTACAACTCTTGTATTCTGCATTTGCCTAAAAATAGCACCAAGTGGATGTGGCTGTGTTTTACTGCCAGCTGGAGCGTTAACCAGGCTTCCTTCTGTCTTTGTTGTAGGGATATAGGGTCAAGTTCCTGGATTGCTGAGTGCTATGGAACGTGAACCCAATCCAGGGGAATAAATTCCCTAGGCCTCCACCATTATGGATCATAGTGCCCGAGGCTCTCCTCAAAAGATAGTCTTTACAATTTTGAGGCTGCAAAGGGCTTCTGACCCTCTTTTCTATTGTGTTATTCTGAAGTACTTAGGTTTTTAATGCTAATCTTTTCAGAACCCCAGTTTTTTGCTCCATCTTTGCAGGTCACATCATTACTAGAGCTTCCTTTCTGGCCAAACTCAAAACTGTTTAAATCATTCTGCTGAGTCATTTGTTCTTATTTCTCAAAGTAGATCTGGCTAAACGCTCCCAATAGTAGCCATGTCACTGCCTGAATATTAGACTGCCTTGAAATTTCTTCTACACGCTATTGCCTTTAATCTTAGCGTCTCCAGAAATGTCTCTGGGCATGGGCAAAATGCACGCAAATTTTTAACTGGAGCAAAATGCACATGGCCCAACGTCCATTTGCCAATGGAGTCCTTCCCAACAGAAACCCCCGAGCCTCGTCTTTACTGGTGGCTCTACTCTTAGAATTCTGGGCTTCTGAGCTCTGACCAGAATCTCCCATCAAGCTCACTTTACAGCATTCTGGGGCTGTTTCTTCAGCCTGCATTTCCAAACCATTCCAAATTCTTTATACAAACCACTTCCAAAAGCTTCTGAACCACATGATCTGGTAACATTAATTATAGCATGTGATTCTACTTCTCTGATACCAAAATCTATCTTAATTGCTTTCTCACTGCTGAGACACAATGTTCAATACCCACAATTTAAAGGAGAGATTTATTTTTGGTTCAGTTTGTAGAAGTTTCGGTTCATAACCAGCATGCCCCATGGCAAGCAGGAAGGAAAGCACTATGAGGAGGGAAGGAAGGGTGTGTGTGTGTGTGTGTGTGTGTGTGTGTGTGTGTGTACACGTACATATACATACATATATTTTTCCAGGCCACACCCACAGTTACCTTCCACTTCCTACCAGGTTTAACCTCCCAACTTCACACCTAGCTGTAAACCCATCAGTGAACTGATCAAGTATCACACACCCATGATCCAGCCACTTCCCAAAAGCCCCACATATGACTGCATGAGGCTTTGGCAAGACATCTAGATATAAACCAAAACATATAATATGCTGGTGATGATTACCTTGTGTCCAAGAATACCTATTGACCTGGTTTGTGTGTTGGCCTGTTTGGGTCTTTTAGCACAAGGTAAGACAACTTTTGCTGGGTGTGGTAGCACATGCCCGTAATCCCAGTACTGCAGAAGCTGAAAGCAGGAGGATTGCCACAAATTTGAAGTCAGTCTGAACTACACAGTGAGACTTTGTATCAAAAAAAATGACTTGTACTTCTCAAGCTTTATCTTGTGTAAGAGTTGCTAAAAAAAGTTTACTGAAACAGATTTTTAGACTTTACTGCCAGAGATTTATTCAGTAAATTTGCAGTGAAGCCTGAGAGCTATATTTCTAATAAATTCTAAGATAACACTAATGCTGCTGGTCCATGAACCACAGTGTTAGTGATATCATGCTGGGCTAATCCTGTCTGGCTTTCTAACACAGGAGAGATTTCCTTGTCAGTTTAAAAGGGAGTGTGAAAACTGTCACCACTGACTGGAAAGTTTGGTTTGTTTTTGGTTCTTTGTATGGGAGAAGTATTATTGGATCTCATGAACTCTGCTCTTTTTAATTTACTTTCTTTAAAAGTTCTAGCAATTGCAAAAGACTCTTTCAATGCTTTGCTTTATTTGATGTTAAACAATGGTATATAGATCAAAAAACAGTTACTTCCAGGATGACTGTTTATCTGCTCTTCCCAAGTCTGTTGACATTAGAAAATAATTAATAATTCTTCATAGGAATTTCTGTTATAGCAAACCACATTAGCAAATATCTTACATTTTACTTTTAATGATTGAAAGTTTAATTTGCTCTTTGCATTTTTAACTCTTTGAGTATTCTCTTATAGTGGTGAACTACTGAACATGTAACAGTGTTCTCAGGGAAATACTCATTTTACAGCAGGTAAAATGGAATGTAAAATAATGTAAAATATAACTGAAATGGCTTAGTCCATGTAAGCTGCTATAGTAAAATATCATAAACTTGAGTGGCTGTTAAACAACAGAAATTTATTTCTCACAGTTCTAGAAGCTGAGAAGGCCAAGGTCAAGGTGCCAGCAGATACAGGTCTCTGGTGAGAGACAATTCCTGACAGCCAACCCCTTTTCACTGTATCTCCACCTGGTGGAAGGGAAATCTAGCTCTATGGGGTCTCTTTTATAAGGGCACTAACACCATTCATGAAAGTTTTACCCTCATGACATAATTACTCCACAAAAACCCAAAAGGTTGTACCTTCTAATGCCATCACCTTGAGGTTAGGATTTTACCATATGAATTTGTGGGGGGACATTGTGTTTATTAAGAAAGATTCACAATCTTTTATTCAAAACTAAGGTTAAACATGGAGTTGATGTGTAGTCATGAAATCAGTCTGACTTTATGTATACTAAAATCTTTTCTTTTATTTCTCCAGCTCTCATACCACCCACCCAAATAAAAAGTTTTATATTTTTAAGAAGCAATCAGGAACTTCCAGGTAACCAGTTGATCTTGTTCTACTTTTTGTACTGAAAAATTATAGTAACTTTTAAAACGTTGCTACTAGGGTATGAAATGAAGTATATAACTTACTGTTCCCAAAAATTGTTAATATTTCTAATGACATTGAAAATTAACTTTCATTACACCACACATCTAATTCACAATCTGCTATACATTATGGATTATTTTACATTCTTCTGGTTCCTTTTGATTGCGTCTTCTTTGGTTTAATTATTTTGCTTATATTATGAACATTTCCCAGGCGTTGAATAGTGCCTGGCATATACATAAGAGGCACTCAGTAAGTATTTGAGTAAGTTAATATGTATATTGAAAACAACATGAGTATGATATTAGACCAACTGCTTATAAGTGGAGGAAAGTTTGATTCTATTTTTTAAAACATTACTGAATTTTTTAAACATTACTGAATTTTAAGATTTCGAAACAAATCTATATTAAGTGTTTACTGAAGAAATTTTAAATTCTTAAGATTTTTATTTGATTTTTACTTGTCAAGCTCAATTGTGTCTTTGCTTTTTTAAATTAATTATATGATTTTAAAGATTTCAGATGTTCCTCAGTTTGGGTGAGTCTCAAATTAAAAAGAAAATTGATGAATTTCTTACAGGTAGAACCTAGCATATTTATACTCCTGTAGAATGGTATTTTTGTAATTGCTATTTTATTTAAATGAAATGTCCATTCTTTAGCTATTTATTGTACAGTTGTCATGTCAGGTCTTTTACAGCTCACAGTGATGCAGAGGAAAGCTTGGTGCCAGTCTTCAAGAAATATACAGTTTGTTGGCAAGATAATAATGTGAACATTAGTAACTGCAGTATACATAGAGATTTGTAACAAGTAAAATGAGATTTGCTAATTTCAAAGGGAAGAGAAGTTTCTAGATGTTAGAGACACAGAGGCATTCTAGTTGAAAGTAATATGCATGAAGGCACAGAAAGGAAAAAGCAACAGGTTTTTCTGAGTCATAGTGAATAACCACTAATATACTTAGGATCAACACAAAGTCCATATAAGATCAAAATCTGGGGCTGGGGATTTAGCTCAATGGCATAAGCACCTGCCTTGCAAGCAGGTGGTTGTGAGTTCAATCCCCAGTACTGATAAAAAATTTTAAAAAGTTAAAAAAAAAGATAAAAGATCAAAATCTGGGATAATAGTTCTTCGCTTACATTTTTTGAGTCATTTATAACAATTCCAGGAAGTTTAGACTTACTTTTAATTTGGAAGACTTTGGGGAAACTACTGATGTTTTGCATAGAATCAAGGATACCATAGATGGGATTAGGAGCCAAGTATGATGGTGCACACCTGTGACCCCAGTACTCTGGGAGGCTGAGGGAAGAGGATCAAAACTTGGAACCCAACCTGGGCAAGTTAGCAAGACTCTCAAAAAGGGGGTAGGGATGTAGCTCACTACAAATACCTTGAGTTCAATCTGTAATACCAATATGACCAACAAAAAATTAAAAAGATGAAAGCTAAGCATGGTGGCACACACATATAATCCCAGCACTCAAGAGGCTGAGGCAGGAGTATCACCATGAGTTTGAGGCAAGCCTGATCTACATGTGAGACTATCTCAAACAAAAAATCCATTTGGAGGAGTATATAAAGTAAGCTACATGAGGCACAGACTGTTCAAGACTATTGTAGTATTAAGACTAATTAACTGGTAATTAGTAACTCAGATTATCTGGGAATCTGAGTAATTCTTGAAAATAACTATGCAAAATTAAAACCTTTGTTAGGTTCCTACCACCTTGTTTTGAAAGCCTATATTGTTACTGTTTGGAAGTTTTTTATCATTTACTTGTCTCTTGTCTCTTGTTTTTTCCTCTTTAAAATAAAATAAATAAAAATAATTAAGAATGACCTTGGTTAAGGTAGTCAAGTCACATCAGATCATGTTTCAGAACTTGGCTTTGGAATCAGAGGTTCAGTTTCAAACCCATTGCTGTCCTTGGTAGATTACTAAATTTGATCCTCTACAGAAAAGTGATAATTATAGTACCTACTTTGGATGTTAGATTTAGATCAAATGATACATGTCTAAAACCCTTAGGCTGGTTAGGCATGATAGTGCACACCTGCAATCCCAGCACTCGGGAGACTGAAGAATCACCACGAATTTGAGGCTAGCATAGGCTATATAGTGAGTTTAAGGCCAGCTTGAACTACATGGCGAGAATGTCTCAAAAAAGAAAGGAGAGAAAGAGATCAGACAGGAGGCATGATTTTTTTGAGAAGAAAACACCCAGTTTTGGTTTTCTAAAGGTGTTTTGATGTGATGACTAACAGCTTGGTATAAATATAAAACAGGCTGTAAGCCTAGAGCTACAGAAGAGAAGTCAATCAAAGGTGTACTACAGATCTTTATTCCTGTACAGGTGAGGTATTGCAGTTTCAGACCCTTCTCTCATGAACTTCAGAAGGATCTTAATTTTGTCCTGACTTAAATAAGATTTAGACTATAGCCTACATGTATCTTTTTTGTTTGCTATTGTACCCACAATACATAGTAGTATAGTGTATGTAAAGAAAATCCTCAGTGAAATTACATTTCTATATTTGAATGAATGATAGATCCTTGCATTACAAATAGGCAAAGAAATGGAAATATTGGAATTTGAACAAGTTATTCAAGTTGTTAGTTGAGCCAAGGCTGTGCTTTAAGTCTCTCAATGCCAAACTTTTAGCAACGAATTGAAAGGAACTAAAAGGCACTGAATGTTAGCATGATCTAGACTTGACTCTGACATTTTCTAGAGAATCATTTGAGATGCATCAGGTTTCTAGAACAAAAGTGATAGTTGTGGCACATAAAATCAAGTTATTACATAAATAATAATTACTGAATTTGTATAGGGATTGCCACATAATATAAGGTCCTTCTCACTATCTTCTTTTCTTCACAGGGGCATTACTCTAGTGTGCCTTAACTGTGATTTCCTAACTGATTCTTCTGGCTTAGACCTCATGGCTAAACATTTAAGTCAACGTAAAACTCATACTTGCCAAGTTGTAATAGAGAATGGTATGTGTATATACTTATGCTACTTTGAATTTGATATTCCAGTATTTTTGATCAGCTACAGTATAGGGGATTATGCATTAAGTCAGTAGTCTCACTCTTCACGTATTCTGTTTTAAATGTAAAAACCCTTCTTGTTATTACAGTTTCTGAAAGTACCTCAACTTCTGAACCCACTTCTCAGAGTAAGTTTTTTTCATTCAGTGCATTTTACTTTGGTGGATTTTAGCACTGTTACAATTTTTATTGTATCTTTAATAGAAATGAAAAATATTAAAGTATTTTGTTTTTGTTTTTGTTTTTAAAGCTGCTTGTTGAAATAGATTCCTGCTCTATGGAGCTCGTGCAACCTGGTGCAAGACAAGTTGGAATTTCCTAAGTTCAAAGTTCTGAAGTGTTTTCTTACACAAAGGCAGTTTCCTAAGTTCAAAGTTCTGGAGTGTTTTCTCACATGAAGGCGGTTAACAAAGTTCATGATACTAGGTCTTACTCAGCTCTTTCAGCTTTCAGATGGCACGAGAATCTTATTCCACCTTATCTTTGTGTCAGGATAACATATCTTAACATGTTTTTTTTTCTCCAGTTAGCTCTCTCCAAAATTACCTTTTGTTGCTATGGTCTTTTCTTGCTTTGCTTAAAATAATTTTTCTCTGCTGTACTTGCCTTCAGAATATTACATTCCAAATGACATGGCTGTTCGTCTGTTACTGTCTGTTTTCTTAATTTCTTATGAGTCTTATATTTTTAGGTCAGGTATCTGTTTTTCCCCTCATTCCTTGTCTGTCATTGTTCTATTTTTCATATTTTTCAGATGCAGAAGCAACACAGAAATTTCAAAAAATGTCCAGTGTACTCCTGGACAGTGTCCCCCTTCGATGGACACAACTGATGCCTGTTCTCTCTTTCCAAGGAATGTGAATTATTTGACTGTGAAACCTCTTATAGTTTGTGGCCTTAAGAAATCAGATCGTGGGAAGAGTCTCTTCCTATCTGACTGGCCTCCCTTAAGGCTAATGCTGATTTGGCCAGAAATGACCTCAAGGCCCACTAAATTGAGCACAAATTCTTTCTGGGGTCTTTTGGTTCTTGATCTTAAGCTTATGGGTTGATTCTTACCAAGAAAAGCCCATCAGATAGATCAGTGCTTCAACACCTGAGTTTTGAAGCCCAATCATTTTGGCTGCTGCCCTTTAATCTTCCTCTAGTATGCATGCAGTCTAAGAAGTATAAAAATTCTGGGTATGTAGGATACCAAGATTACTTTCATGTTCTTGGAAAAACAAACTTTATAAAATTACAGTTCCAAAGTAACAGTTATTTGTACTGTCATTTAAAGTTTTATTCAGTATTAATTCTAGGAGTTTTCAGTAATACTAATAATAAAATTTTTAATTTTGAAAAAATGTCATTAAATTCTGGTGGCTTGAGCTTATGCTGTTTTTCATCAGATTTACAAATGTCCATTTTGTTGTCTATTTTTGTACTGTTCTCTTTAAAGCTTTTGTTTCTTTTGTTTTTGTTGAGAACTATAAGAAATTTCTTTAAAATTCTACACAAACTTCATGTAGCTACCTACAGGTAGCTTCTTAATTTAGTACTTGTTCAGATTATTAATCATTACTTATTCTGTCTCTATTGGAACTTCATTAACATCTTAGGGATTGTGGTTTGATTGACATTAAAGAATTGGCAAAAAAATGTTTTTAAAGACCTTAACATAAGTCTTAAAGTTACCTTTTTGTTCACCTAGTAAATAATATCTTCTTAGCCATTAATGTAATTCCTTTGGATAAAGATAATATATTCAAAAATATTGGGACCAAAAAATGCACTTGTTTCTTGCCCATATATATAGATGTATATTTTTTTTAATTTGGCGTTTGTTTATTTTGGTTACACTGAATATAGATTTACCGAACAGTTTTTGATGTTACTTATTTTTTTAATAAAATTTGTATTGTTAAAGGCCTTGTGAATTATTTCTAATAAATAACTTCGCATAAAAGCTATAATTTTATCATACAACTCAAAGCATTACTTTGCTTTTCACTTGGAAGCCTGATTGATTGGCCTGCGCCCTGAGAACTTTTATCTATTGAATGTATCTTGTACTTTTTCCTTTTTACTCTAAATTCAAAGTTTAGCTGAATGTAGTGGTGCCAGCTTGTAATCTCAGTTCTTGGGAAGCTAATGCAGTAGGATCACCGTAAGTTCGAGGCCATTCTGGCCTACGTAGTGAGTTTAAGTTCTTCCTGAGCTATATAGTGAGACCCTGACTCAAAAAAAAATCAAAATCAATTAATCAAATCAGAACTTCACAAATGTACTTTGAGCATTGAAAACCAGCTTCAGTGCTCACTTGTTCTATAATATACTTCTTTACTTTAGAATCAACAGTTAAATCCACTAGTTTGAATTTTCCAGACTGATTTCTGCAATAAATGATTTTCCAGAATACCTAAAAAGTGGCTTGTTTTATGGTAATGGAGTTGGTGGTACTCTAATGTTTATTCTCATATTTGTCTCTTAAGATGTTTTGTTGTCATCTTTCCACTCAATATTTAAACTTTTATTGTTATAAAATATAACATAAAATTTGCCATTTTACCCATTTTCAAGTGTATAACTTAACATTAATGGCTTCATTTTGTTTGTTCATTTGTTTTCCCCATAAATAGTATCTTTGCATTCTTCACATTTCTGTTTTTTGAGACAGTAGCCATGTAGCCCAGGCTGGGCTCCAACTCACAGCAATCTTCCTGCCTCAGCCTTGCAAGCGCTGCGATTATAGGAGTCTGCCACCATACCCAGCTGCTTTTTTGCATTTTAAACATAGATTTTATTTTTATTTATGATGTTTTCACTGCCTCTCTCGTTGTTCAGAAATGATAAACAAGAGCTGAATGTGGTGGCACATATCACACAAGGCTGAGGCAAGATTGTGACTTTGAGATTATCCTGGGCAATATAGTGAAAGATCATACAAACCTATAATCCTAGTACTCCAGCAATTGAGGCAGGAGGATTGTGAGTTCAAGCCTAGTCTGGAGAATTTAGCAAAAGACTGGGTATGGTGATGCATGGATATAACTCCAGCACACAGAAGGCTAAAACAGAAAGATTTTGGCAAGTTTTAGGCCAGTTTGAACTGCATAGTGAGACAATATCGCAAAAAAAGGGCTAGGATTATAGCTTAATGTGAAAGCCCTGGGTTCAATCACAAATTAAAAGAGAAAAACACATTCTTGTTATATTAGTATTTTAGGTAAGGCTGCAGTTTTATGTTCTTTCATAGGATTGTATTTCTACAGTATGTATCGGGGTTTTGTTTGTTTGATGGGTTTTTTTTTTTTTTTTTAGACAAAATCTACTATGTAACCCAGGCTAGCCTTGAACTCACTACATAGCCCAGGCTGGTCTCGATCTCATGGTAATCCCTCCTGCCTTACCCTCCAGAGTGCTGGGATTACAGGCATGTGCCACCATGCTCAGCATGTATTGGATTATTTTTCTATGACTATGCTACACTAAAAGTTCTATCAGTGATGCTGAGCCTGTGGCATGCATGCCACAACCAGCTGTTTATCATAGAAAGCTCCAGAAGGTTTACCGTCACTGTTCTTTGTACTGTGGTGTCATTTTTGTTTTACAGTGTTTAAAACATTTCAGGTAGTCAGTATTAGGCTGTGTTATTTTTTTAATTTTTTTTTAAGAAGCACAAATTTCAAAGCAAGACCACCAGAGCTCTTCACTTATCATATTGTGTCTTGTTTTCTTCCAAATAGTTGTCCATATCTTCACACACAGTGAATACATACTGAAAAATATAGTACTCAACTGATCAGAACAGGATGATGAAGGTATTTTAGGTCTTCAAGACCAGACAATACAGGTGTCAACAATGGCTGCCATAGTGTCTCTCGTTCTCTTTGAAATAGCTGTCCATATCTTTAAATATGTTGAAATTAAAAGAAAATAGACTAATAGCACTTTAAACAGAATAATAGTATTGCTAGGTTTTATATCATGATGCTACAGAATTGCACTCGGTACCTTAGTGTGTCTTTTTCTTCAAAGTATCTGTTCCTTACATCATGCATTATATAATCTGTACCCATAAACTGTCTAGAAGTTCTACCCATGCTTGAATTTCTACATGTATACCTATCCTTTCTGTATTATAGGGAGAAAAGCAGATAAAAACAAGACAACAAAACAAATTCCTAGAAAAACATGAAGTGAAAAAACAAAACCACAATACTAGATGATATGCTTTCTCGTTATTTTCAATACAGTTGTCTATCATCAGGCATAATATAATTGAACATAGCACTACATAGCAATATTAATAAAAACACAACATTGGAGACATTGTAGGACTTCAAAATCAGTTAATCAAACCAGAATGAGTATCATATTGCATCTTGTCATCTTCAGAGTAGTAGTTGCCTCTACTCTTAGAATTGATACTATCAAGCATACCAAATTCAAATAAAATCAGTCAAGACAAAATAGCAGTCTAACCAGATTCAAATTAGATCATTCATAGTAAGACAATGTAAGTAATACAGGGCTTCAGTTTAAGTTAATAGGGAATTAAGGATAGTTATATCCTGCTATTTTTGGGAGAGCTGTCTGCCCTCAAATCTAATACAAGTAGACAAACTGGAACAGAATAAAATCAAACTAAACAGTGATAAGACTAATGTGGCTTTTAAATACTGATACACTATTGCTAATGTCCTCTGCCTTCTTTTTTTAAGACAATTCCTCCACTTTCCCTTTCTCAGGTACTTTGTACATTTGGGGTCCCACTAACTCCTTTAGTTTTTAGATTGGGGGGAAACCCGCTATCTACCTAAGTGGTACTGAACCTTTTTACCCCTGAGTGTGATCTTGAGCTGTATTCCTTTACCTACTAAAACCTCAGTTTTCCTTCTTTATAGCTGAGTAGTTCTCCATTGCACAAAAGTGTCGTGACTTTCTAACCTATCTGCAGCTGCTGGACGAGCTGTCCCTATTTCTCTCTGGTTCCATAGAGCATCGTTTTCTCATCTTTGACTTTTGGTTTATTAATCATTTTTCAGGTTGATTATATTTCCTATTCAGAGCATTTCGATGGACCCTATCTCCTGATCTGCTCTGCTTGTGTTTCTATTTGTTAGTGTATCAAGGCCATCTATGTTAGAAATTATAGCCAACTTTCTCTGCCTCATCTCTGCTATTTTATTTTTCTATTATTTATCCACTTTTCTCCTTCATTCCACTGTCTGCCCCATTCATTGAGGCCTCTCTGCCACTGTTGCTGGAATCCTGGTATTTTTTTCTCTCTCTCTAGAATGTCCTTCAGTATTTTTTTTAGGGTTGGGATGGTGGCCATGAACTCCCACAGTTCCTCCTTGTCTTGGAAACATCTTTTTTTCTCAATTAATTTTGAGAGTTTTTCAGGGTACGTCAATCTGGGTTGGAAGTTGTTTTCTTTCGGGGTTTGGAATACTTCATTCCAAGCTCTTCTTGAATTGATAGTTTGTGTCAAGAAGTTTGTCGTGATTTTGATGAGTTTTCCTTTATTGATGATCTGTCTCTTTTCTCTGACCACTTTTAATATTCTATTCTAGTGATGAATTTCTGGGATCTTGATTATTATATGTCTGGTGTAGATCTGATTTGGTTGTAGCTGTCTGGAATTCTGTATGCCTCATTTATCTGGATATCTTATGCTTGGGAAGTTTTCCTTTTAGCCTTTGTAATTCATTTGTGGTTACTCCTGCTTTTTTGCTCACATTTTTTATTATTAAGTTATAGATTCTCTTGTCATCTTCTAGCCTTTGCATTGTTACTTCTTGGTTCCCTGTTTTTAAGAGATCTTTTGTTTCACAATCACACATTGCAAATCTATCTTCAAGTTTTTAAAGTCTAGTTTCAAGGAATTTTGACAGCTTTCAATGGAATCTTGTCTCATTTGAATTAGAAGTTCAGTTTTAAGTTCATCTATGAGGTCACGAAAATATTTCTTTATTCTGCTGATGCTATAGCTGATATTGCATGATTACTGCCCTCGATCTCTTCTGTATTTACTTCCCCTGGACTTATTTTCCCTGGGTCAGCAGCTGGAGGCTTTTTCTTATTTCTTTCTCTTGCCATGTTTCTGGTTTCTTTTAGACAGGTGTATGGTGAAGGTCTCAGGCCCTTTCCATATTTCCAAGGTTTTTCTGAAGCATGCTGGCTAGAGGATTGTTGCCCTCTCCAATTTACTGTTATCTGAGGTGCATGCAGGGACGATGTGGGCTGGCCCCTCTATGAGCTAGTCAACCAGCGAATGTTAGTCTGTGCCATGTGGATGTCACAGGTTCGGGACAGTTTCGTCCCTGGCTGGGACATGACCCAGCCCAACTAGAGGTGTGACCCAGTCCAAGCAGGTCCCACAAGTCCTCTTGAGTCCACTGAGGTTCCTGGTTCAGGCCCATCCTGCCCAACTCCAATATGTCATCCAGCTGGTCATCCCTTCCATGGGACCAAATTCCTAGCACCACAGATTAATGCAACTCTCCACATTGGTTCTGCTCTCCATTGCACTGCATCCTCCCGCCAAGAGCCCTGGGCTCACCAACCCACAATTTCAGTGGCTGTGACTTCAGCATGACCATGAATCATCCAACTCCAAGGTGCACCCAGCACAGCGTGGGACCAGCCCCAGTGAGCGTCTGGTTCCAGCCTTTCATCCATGTTTTCCTTCCTTTTTTTATTTCTTTTTCCTCAGTTTCTTCCTGGATTATGAGAATCCCTCTCCTTTCTTCTGGTCTTCTCCATGGTGTTAAATTCTAGCATCTTGAATTGTTTTTCTCAGAGAGGCTCTCTACCCTGCTACCTATCAAGCCGCTATGTTCAGACCCTCTAGGCTTTGTTATTATAGGCAAATTATTTGAGTAGTTTTAGCTTGTCACTGATCCCTCTACCTTCAGGCTCTTGTAAGTAGTTCTTTCATATGATTCAGAAATAGCCAACTCCTAAATACTTGTGCCTTTTGCTTTAGCTGAAAGAAGGTATGATTGACTCAGTTCCAGTCCATCATCATTATTAGAAAAACAACCACTAAACTACAGAGGTTTAGATTTTTCTTGCCCTGTGTACTTGACAGAACACCTTTTTGACCTCACTTAGTCAAAGGTAGGCCTCCCTTAGAAGACGTCACTTGAGTAAAGACCTGAAGGAGGTAAGAAAGTGATCCATTATCACAGGGGCATTCCAGAAAAAGACAACAAATAAGAAGCCTCCACAGTGGAAATCTGAACCCTCATACACTGCTGGTGTAAATGTAAAATATTTCAACCATCATAAAGTTTGGCAGTTATTCAAAACGTTATGTAAAGAATTACCACGTGACATTATAATTCACTCCTGGGCGTGTATCCAAAAGAGTTCAAAGCAGAGACCCATACTTGTACATGCTTATAGAAGCACTATTCAAAATTGCCAAAAGATAGCAACAGCTCAAATGTTATTCACAGATAAAGCTTTGAGTAAGTTATGGTATGCCTGGTGGAATATTGCTTAGCCATAAAAAGGAATGGAATACTGATAATACTACATACAACATTTGTGGAGTTCTTAAACATGCTGAGTGAAAGTAAAAGTCACAAAAAGATATATGATCCCATTTATATGAAAGATCCAGAATAGGCTGATTCTCAGAGAAAAGGCAAATGAGTTGTTTCTAGTAGCTGTGAGGAGAGGGAATGGGATGCATTCCAAATGGGTATGGGATTTTATTCTAAAGCAAAAAACTGCTTTGGAACTAGTTACAGATGGTTGCACAATATTGTAAATGTACTACCATTAAATTGTTTAAGATGATTAATTTTATGTGAATCTCATCACTTTTTAAAAATTTAAACTAGTGATATGAAGGAAACATCCTTATTCTAATGAAAATCTACAGCTAACGTAAGAAAAAGAGGCTCATGGCTTAAGAAACAAAACTGATAGGGCTTGTAGTAGAGTTGGGGTGTAGAAGCTGACAGGAGATTGGGTCTGGGAAGTCATGTGGACTGTAGTGTACAGGCTTATGGACAATGGTAATGATTTGGGTTTTATTCTGTTTTGTTTTGTTTTTTTTACCGGTAACAGGGATTGAACTCATGACCACACGCTTGCAAGGGAGGCACTTATGCCGTTGAGCTAAATCCCCAGCCCCTGGGTTTTATTCTGGAATAAAAAGTCATTATAGATTTGTTTGTTTGTTTGAGACAGAGTTTCACTATGTAGTACAGGCTGACTTTGAACTTGCTTACGTAGCCAGGACTGATTTTGAACTCATGGTGTTCCTCTTGCCTCAGCTTGTGAATGCTGGGATTACAGACATGCACCACCACACCTGGCATTAATAGATTTTGAATAGAGTTAATTTATAATTTAATAAATTCAGGATTATTCCACCTGCTGTCTTGAAACAAGCAACCTAGAGCAAAATCAAGATATCACAAGCTTTGTAATAATGCAGATGGGAGATTGTTATGGTTTGTGCCTCGGTGTACTCCCCAAAGCCTCATGCAGTCATAGATGAGGCTTTTCAGAAGTGGGGAGAAGCAGGATGTATCATTACTAAATTAGTTCACTGATTGGTTCGGCATAGTTCTGAGTATGGATAATGGGAAGGCCTACCCTGGATGTGGGTGCTGCCCGCCCTAAAGGCACATAGCCTGGATAGACTATAAGGGACAGAAGGCTGCTGCCTTCACTTGCTGCTTCATTACTGGCTGCCTTCTACCTGTCCTCCTTTGCTATGGACTGTTTCTCCTGTGATGCCCCTCTGCCATGCCACCCTGCCTTGCAGCCACCCGATTATGGACTGAAACCTCTACAAACTGAGCCAACATAAACCTTTCTTCCTTTAACTTTAGGTGTTGAGTATTTTGTCTCATTGATCAGAAAAGTAATTTCAGACAAGAGTTGATGGGTTAGTTTAGGATAGTGAGAGTATAAAGGATAAGAGGCTCAATTTGGGCTGTGTATTGGAGGTTGAGCCAATAGAACGATTGTTTCAATGTAAAGTGTGAGAAAATGTTAAATGATAGCATGGTCACTAGTCTGAGAACTGGAAAGGTGGTGTTGATACTGAGATGGAGAAGACTAAAAAATAGTTTGGGAGGAGATGAAGACTTTGGATTTGGGACATGTTTGAGATGTCCATTCAGTAACCAGATAGGAATATCATAACCATTCAGATACATAAGAACTGAAGGAAGCGCTACAAGCTGTCAAAATTTATTTTTTATGTCATAAGACTATGAGATCACTAAGAGAGAAAGGATGACGTTCAGACACTTGAGTTCTGGGATATTCAGATGTAAGAGGCTGATAAAACAAGAACTCAGCAGTGGAGACTGAGAAGTGGCAGTCTCCTGGAAGACTAAGGGAGTAGCTGTGGCCTTGAAACTTCAGGTACCCTATTTGTAAAAAAAGGTGGATGCTGACTTGTTCGAGAGTTCTGACATTTCCTGATTTTCTTGGCTATACCTAAATATCACTTACAAATTTTCTTAGGAGAAAATTCAGAATGGTAATGATTTCTAGTGTATACATATGTGCATTTATGTATATGTCAAAATGCACTGTACACTTTAAATTTATAATATTTATTTGTTAATTATTCCTCAGTAGAGTTGGAAGAAAACCGTGCCATTTAAGATTTCAGTAGCAGGGGCGGGGGATTTAGCTCAGCGGCATAAGTGCCTTCCTTGCAAGTATGCGGTCCTGAGTTTGATCCCTGGTACTGATAAAAACAAAACAGACCAAAAAAAAAAAAGATTTCAGTAGCAGAAACAGACTCAACACTGAGAAAATGGAATATCCCGATTGCTCCCAGACACAGTTATAAGACTGCATGCAGTCTTATAATAATGATACTATTTTGTTTCTGTAATAGGAAGTATCTAGGTCTTGAACTAATACCCACAATTTGTAAATAGGGAACATAGAGCAGTAGTGTGTGCTTAGTATTCAGAAGGCTTTGTGTTCAATTCCCATTCCCAGTACAAAAAAAAAGACTGAAAAGACAGGCCCCCATGGTCAAATAAATTTAGGGAATGCTAAACTGAAGCTAAGTAAAGTAATTATTTAGTATAATGTATTTTTATGCTATATTCAGTCTATGATTCTTTAAGAGAAATTCAGAGACTTAGGGAAGATCCTCTCCAATTGCAACATTAACCCATAGAGAATATTGATTTATAATAATCATTCTAATCATATTTTCTGAATTTGAAAGTAAGTAGGTGGTGTGTTAAGATGGCTTTCTAGATATTACATTCACACTCATCAATCTGAAATATGTAACTGGAGGATAACAATATAAATTGTCATATTTTTAAATGTTTTCTTGTAAAGAGAATGAAACCAAATCAAAACAATAAAGCCCATCAAAACAAAACAGTGAAAATGATACAGAACTTCAAAACAGGATAGTAGGAAATCAACAGTGGTTACCATAATGTCTCTTGTTATCTTCAAAATTGCTGACTATACCATCAGACATAATAAAATTTTTAAAAAACAGATCATTAAAGAAAACAAACAACAATATTGGATTCAAAAACAAGACAGAAGGAAATCTCCCACAGGCGCTATACTGCATACTCTTATCCTCTAAATAAATGCTGGGACTACTGGCTTTAGGCCTACAAAGTCAATTAAACAATACAAGAATTGAGATGGTTTTGTACTTCAGTTGCTATCAACTCAACCTATGATAACTCCGAATCAGCCGATTGCTTGGGTTGAGGGCTCTTGTCTCCTAGCCTGTGTGCTGGCCGGCTCATGGGAAGGGCAAGTTGGCATCTTGTGTCTCTTCCCATCCCTGCATGGCTGCTGCTGGCTCATGTGAAGGATAAATTGGCTTTCTCTTCCTCTTCCCTCCCATGGTTGCCCCTGGCTCACAGGAAGGGTGAATTGACTTGTTCCTTTTTCCTGTCCCACATGGCTGCATTTTCATATTTTTACAAGTTCTATCAGGAAAATATGTCCATTATTGTTTGTAAAGATCTAAAAAATACATGACTGAGAGAAACTAAAACATTTGTCCTAAAGGGCATAGTCACTTTACATGATTTGAAACTCAAGAAGCTTCAGACTAGGCTGGAGTATAGCTCAGTGGTAGTGTGTGTGTTTGCAATATGTGCAAAGCTTTGGATTCATTCCCCAGTATCACATGTATAAAAAAGAGCTTCCGACTCTTTTTTTTTTTTTTTTTGTCTTTTTCCTGGTACCGGGGATCGAACTCACAACTGCCTGCTTGCAAGGCAGGTGCTTATACTGCTGAGCTAAATCCCCAGCCCCGAGCTTCAGACTCTTAGGTCTCACTGCTTCTATAAGTCGTTAAGCTTAGCCTATTAATGTATCCACTTAAGTAATTTTCTCAGAACTATTAACTTTTTGACATATTTTGTAGAATTTTTTATTCTGTAAAGTTTTACTTCCTATTCAAACAGCTTTGAAATACCTTTGGAACTAGGATTCCAAGATGCAATACCTGACTATTGAGTAGAACCTTTCTGTGCCCCCCCCCCCCCGCTTGGTATCGGGAATTGAACTTGGGACCTTGCGCTTACCAGGCAGGTGCATATTCCCACCTTAAAGGGACAGTGCAGTACATTGTTTAAGAGTTCAGGCTCAGCCATGTGTGGTGGCACACACCTGTTATAATACTCAAGGGCTAAGGCAGAAGGATCACCACAATTTTCAGGCCACTTCAGACTATGTAGTGAGCTCAAGACCAGCCTGAACAACATAGCAAGACCCTGTCTCATAAAAAACAAAGAACACAAGTTGTTAGGTCGAAATTCCTCCCCTATGAGTGACTTGCTTGTGAGTCTGGGTTTACGTGAGAAATGCAAGTAACAGTATCTACACACAATGTTAGGGAATTAGGCAAGATACTATAAGTATATACCACGTAGAACAGTGATTAGCATGGGTCATCATTGAAGCACATAGCAATAAATGTAGGCATGCCATCAGATGCCTTTTTCGTTTTAGGTATCTTTTTTGTTGAATGTCTTTTCTATTGCTTTTTGTTTCACATCTTTTTTTATTAAGGCACGTTAGCTTTATAGATTAATGGATTTCTTTTTTTTTTTTTTTTTGTCTTTTTCCTTTTTATCGGTACCAGGGATCAAACTCACAACTGCCTGCTTGCAAGGCAGGCGCTTATGCCGCTGAACTAAATCTCCAGCCCCAGATTAATGGATTTCATCTGCCAGAATTATGCATACTTTGATCATGTTCAACCCTCACTACCCCTTTGTCCTACCTTTCCCCTTGGTTTCATATTTTTTGGATGTCCATGTCAGTATATCTTGGTCATCTCCACTCCCCTCTTACCTACCCTTATGCCTCTTCCACTTGCCCTTTATTCCCCTTCCTATTGTTTATTAATAGTCTCCATTCTACTTTCTTGGCATCTTTTTAGATTCCACACATTAGAGCATGCAATATTTGTCTTTTTGTGTCTGGCTTATTTTGCTCAACAATAGTGATCTCCAGATCTGCCCATTTTCCTGCAAATAACAAATTTTGTTCTCTCAATAGATGACTAATACTTTGTTGTTTATATATATTTTTTCATTTGTCTGTTGACAGGTCTTAGACTGGTTTCCTTTATTGTTGTGAATTGTACCACAATAAACATGGGTATGCGAGTATCTGTATACTATGCTGAGTTTAATTTCTTTGGGTATATACTAAGGAGTAGTATAGCTGGATGAAATGGTAGTTCTGTTTTGAGTTTTTTGAGAAATCTCTGTGTGGGCTATACTAATTTACATTCCCTCCAGCAATGTAGAAGGGTACATTTTCCTTTAAATCTTCAACAGCATTTTTTTAAGGCAAGGTCTTGCTATGTAGCCAGCCTGGCCTAGAATTCACAGTAATCCTCCTGCCTCAGCCTCCCAAGTGCTAGGACTTGTTCTTGTTTGTTCATTTGTTTTCTTGTGTGTGTATTCTTGAAGATAGCCATTGTGACTGGACTGAGATGCAATTTCAATGTAGTTTTGATTTGCATTTCCCTAACAGCTAAAGATGTTGACCATGTTTTCATATGTGTACTTATTGGTTATTTATAAGAGAAGTATCTGTTCAATTGCCATTAGATTTTTGATGTTTCAAGGTCACTAGACTTGGTTGCTGTCATTTTTGATTTTTTAAACAGAATCTTGCTATGTAGTCCAGATTGGCCTCAAACTCACAATCCTCTATCCTCAGCCTCTTGAGTTCTGAGAATATAGATATGCATCATCAAACCCAACTTAGACTTGTAGTTTTAGAGAATGTCTATTGCACCTATGTAAATTTTAGTCATACCTTTTGTAAATAGTGTTGGGTATTTCCCTAAATTATATAGCGTTATATTTAACTATTCCCATGTTTTACCTCATATTCATACTTCTTTGATCTTTCTTTTTGTGTGTGTGCCAGAGATTGAACGCATGACCTTGCACTTTCCAGGAAAGTGCTTATGTCACTGAACTAAATCCCCAGCCCATACATCTTTGATCTTAAGATTCCTTTGAATATTTAAGTTCTTGTCATTTTGACCACCTAGAAGAGTTTCGTGCCATCAACAAACTCGAAGAGGCTATTATGTATCTCTCTTGCTGTTTTTAATTCACACTGAAAGATAATGGTTTATGTACACCACTGTGATATATGGTATTGTAAAGAGAATATAGTCTTCAAATGAAAGTCCTAGGTTTAAATCTTGGTCCTGTGTCTAACTAACTGTGCCACCTTGAAAATTATCTGGACTTGTCTACTATTAGCTTTCTCATCAGTGAAGTTATCATTCTTGGTAATTCCCTTGCAAGTTGGCGATAAGGAATGTATGTGTGTGTATATAAATTTGACACTGGCACGACAAAAAGTTGACAATAAATGATGCCGCTGTTACTGTTACTCTTGGAGCTGCTCCAGCTGTGTTACTATTTTTATTTCTATTGCTGCTGTTACTACTATCACTACTACTGAGAAGAGACCCTCGACACTGTACATCACTGGCATCTTCTCATTGATGGTTTTAGTGGCAGTCTGTCAGCACTGTCATTATTCATAATTTTGGATTATAGTTCCAAGGTCTTGGACTATATCCCTTCAAACTGCTACGTGAAAGAGATTTTGTCACAGTGCTTCAATTACATGCAGTATGATTTTGTAATGTTGGAAATTAGTATGGCTCTGCTTTTCTTGTCTTATAACTATGAAATGACACTGGCTTGAACATCAGTGTAGGATCCTGTCTTCTGTGGAGGAAAATGTTCCTTTTGTGCTTAGAGAATTTCTTCTTTAAAAGAAACTTTTTTGTTCATTATTATCAGGAATTCACTTCTAGAAATCTTGACTAGTTATCCAATACTATTAATTTAATGAAAGCATATAATAACAATAGTAAAGTGACCTTTTGTGAGACTTTGAAACTATTAAAAATACTTTGCTTTCTCACAGTTTAGCAATATTGTCACTTAGTATTTTTATTTATTTATTTGGTACTAGGGATTGAACTCATGGCCTCGCCAGGTAGGTGTTTACACCACTGTGCTAAGTCCCTGGCTCCCTGTCAGTCAATTAAATTATTCTCTTCTCTTTAATTTTCATTGTCTCTCTGTCCCCAGTATATCTACCTAAATAGATACATTGTATTAAAGACTAGATGAAACTTTAAGTTGTGCAAAGTCCTTTATTTCTGATAAAATGTTGGAAATAGGTATAATAAGCCAGGCATAGTGGCACATGCCTGTAATCTCAGAACTTGGGAGGCCAAGGCAGGAGGATCTCTGTGAGCTTGAGGCCAACCTGGGCTATATAGTGAGTTCAAAACCAGACTGAACTACATAGTCCGATCTTGTCTCAAACAGACAAATAAAAAGAATGAGATATGTCTACTTGGCAAATCTTTAGAGCCTCAGAACATACAAGAATTCTTGGTAAATCTTTAGATACCTCAAGCTCAGAAAACTAAGCTAATCAGTTAAGCAGCTTATTAATTATATCAAATGTCTTAAAGGTCAAAATTTGAAGTAGGTTTTTTTTTTTTTTAACTGGGGATCAAACTTATGGCCTCACGCTTAATAGACAGGTGCTTATGCCACTGAGCTAAATCCCCAGTTGTTGAAGTAGCTTTAAAAGTTTATTTTGTTCTCTTAGTAACTTGCAAATGGCTCTATGGTTAATTTATCCCAATTCTTAATAGTTTAACAGAAATATGTATTGAGGAACACATTGTTCTAAAAACTAAATAAATGGGGACAGCCTAAATGACCTTCGATTTTTATGTGTTCCTAATACCCTTTATATCAGGGGAATTTAATAAAAACTACAAATGTTACCCATAAACTACATTTCGCTTATTTAAGTCTTCCCCAAAAATCCTATAAAATTATTTTCAATCTTACTTTACAGACAACAACAATAAGGTACCTGGTAATTCTGAAAATAAGTGGTATCAAGAAATAATGACTTGTTCAGGTTACAAAAGCATCATTTTTCCAGCCCTAATTTTAATCAAAGCAGAACACTTTTTAAAAGTTTTAATTGTTACATCTGGGTGTGGTGGTACACGCCTGGAATCCCAGTATTCAGGAGGATCCTTGCAAGTTTGAGACCACCCTGAGCTACAAAGTGAGCTCAAGATCAGCCTGAACTGCATAGGGAGACCCTGTCTCAAAAAGACAAAAAAAGTTTCAATTGTTAAGAGACAACTAGTTCCTAGACTTCACATCCCCTTTCTGTCCCTTCTCCTTGAAAGAGTTTGAACCTCAGGTGTCTACTCAGCTCCCCACCCACAAAATTGTGGGCCTAAGCCTGACCTGACAGTGATTACACCAGAGGAAGTCCTGGCATCTGCCAGGAGCAACAACTGTTATCTATTCCACTGTTTATCCTCAGTAAAGCAGAGGTAGGCCATTAGCATTGGGCCCAGAAACACATCCTCCTCTCAATATTGAGAGAAGGGGCTGGGGATTTAGCTCAGCAGGCATAAGTGCCTGCCTTACAAGTATGTGGTTGTGAGTTCGATTCCCGGTACCGATAAAAAAGAAAAAGATGAAAAAAATATTGAGAGAAATAGAAACTAGCATTGTGGTTCAGGCTGTGCAGTTAGAGCTGCTTCTACCCTGCTCTAACACTTTGCAGCCACGTGGCACTGGGCAAGATGCTTGTATCATTTTATGCCTCAGGCTATTGTGAAGTCCGAAGTTTAAGTATGACAGCCCATGTTAAGCCCATGAGAGTACTTAGTGCATAATAGACAGTGAATGTTAGCTGCCACTAATAACTTGTCATTATTTCAGTTAGAGACATAAAAAATCTAGGCGTCATCCTGAAGAAGTGCCATCTCAAAATGTGCCAAACTATTGATTATTTTAAGCTGAAATCACTTGAGGTACTATAACTTCAGAAAGGGCTATTTGGCCTGTGTTTTCTTATGTGCAATAGGCCATAAAGATTATTTGGGAAGGGATATCCTTCACATACCATTGTTGGAAAACACCTAGCCTTGGTCGCCAGGCACCAACTGGTCATTAGGGCTGCAGCAAACCTGAATAAACAAACTCTTTGATGTAACTCTTCAAGAAGCTTTCATACCATACCTCATATCTCTTAGTGACACTCCTAGAATTTACTGCCCTACTAGATAGCCATTTGTCCTGCTATTCCTTCACAATATTTATTGTCATTTGCCTAAAAAAAATAAAAGCATTATGCTTTGGTCATTTCTTCAGATTTTAGCCTCTTGTGAATAGCTTCTGTACATGTAAAATTAATCAAACTCCTACACTTTTCTCTTGTTATTCAGCTCTTATTTTAACTAGTCCTAGATCCAGCCAGAGAGCCCATGTGAGAACTAAGAAGGGTAGACATCTCTCCCCTGCAGTCTGATAACATCTTAGACATTCACTGGTTTCCCTAGAAAGACAGCAACACATAGGGGTAGCTTCCTTCTATGTGAAGCAAGAATATCCACTGGGATTGGTGGGTAAGGCTTAATTAAATGTTTTCTTTTTTTTTTCTTTCTTATTTTATTCATTCATTTCTTTATTTGGTACTGGGAATCAAACTCAGGACCTTGCACTTGCGAGACAGGGGCTGTGCTGCTAAGCTATATTCCCAGCCAAAAGCAGATTTCTTTCTTTTTTTTTTTTTTTTTTGTCTTTTTCCTTTTTACTGGTACCAGGGATCGAACTCACGACTGCCTACTTGCAAGGCAGGCGCTTATGCCGCTGAGCTAAATCCCCAGCCCAAAAGCAGATTTCTTAACTATACATTTATCTGATTCTTCCCAGTACTTTTAACACTAAATTCAGAGGATCACAATACTTAATTGCTGCAGAAGAGATTAAATGCCACCAGAGCCATACTGAGTAATAAAGTGTATCTCTCACTCTAGCTCAACTGCTTCCTGATTTAGGAGCATCTTCTGTGCAACAGGACTACCTACTTGGGTTTACAATCTGTCTCCCTGCCGAGGTGTGTTTCTGAGGTCACCCTTTCTCCCTGCTACTAGGCTGTTCAATTTAACTATGGGTCACGGGCTTACCTTAGGTGAGTCAAGCTCTAATGATTTACGAGAGGTAATTTTAGGGTACCCTCAGACCATTTCCTTTTTGTAAGAATACCTTCCAGTTCCAAATGTCTAAGTGCCCCAATTGAGACCAGGATTAGTTCCTTTTGTTTGGGTGAACATTCCAGGAAATACTTGGTACCAGTCGGGAAAACTGGAAAGCACTTTCCTGCCTTCACAAGCTTACCAGCAGGAGGCCTAGCAAAGACGTGCAGTCTCTTCATTGTATAATCTATCTTCGTTTGCCTTATATCCAGAGTGACTCGATGTGGAAGTGTTCGTACTAGAGATTAGTCTTCAGTTCTCTGTTGTAGTTAAGAAGCTTTTACGTACTAGTTGCAGACACGCAGCCTACGGACAATGGATCTAACCAAAACAGTTTTACCTATCCAGTTTTGATCCTGAAATGATCTGCCTGACCAGGCAGAGTTCCTTGGTATTACTCACATTGCTCTGGTGATCTGGTTTGGAAAGTGACTAAGGGAAAGGTAGCTTCTAATTTTAGAACTTACTAGGAAGCCTAAGAGTATCACACACACACACACACACACACACACACACACACACACAGAGAGAGAGAGAGAGAGAGAGAAAGAGACAGACAGACAGAGACAGAGAGAGACCTGGAGGCACATTAGACTCAACTGTGGCCATTTTAAAAATACAAATTCCTAGCCAGGTGTGGTAGCACACAATTGAAATTCCAGCCCCCAAAAGGCTGAGGCAGGAGGATCCCTGTGAGTTTAAAGGCAGCTTAAACTACATAGTGAGATCCTGTCTCAAAAACAAAATTCCAAATTCCTACTCCCTCTAACCACTAGATCAGAGTGGTTGGGGCTGGTTTCCCAGGAATCTGTGCTTTAACAAGGCCCCCACTGGTTTCCTGCAGTTGGCTGGGAAATAGCATTTGGTAATCTTGGTAATCACTAATCCGAGGGAGTCTGCCCTGCCCCTCTTAGTCCTGCTATCCCAACGCCAGACCTTAGGGGGTCTGGCTTTCACAGTCAAATGAACTTGGAATCAGAACCATTTTAACCCATGTGATTGGTCCATTTGAATTGTGGTGGCATGTTCAGAGGACTTGGGAATGGTTCAGAAGCCAGGCTAGCCCAGTGAGATAATGGCAGGTAACCCATGGAGGGGAACCTCTATGAGTCAAGGCAGGAAAGCTCTGTCCCCTTGTGTGTTGCAAGATAATAAATACTGGCCTTTCTGCATCTGCTGGTCAGAGATGCAGGAGAAGCCGACCTTGCCTCTAAGCTGAGCCCCCTCTTGGCACCTGTGCCTCCCCTCCCCACCCCAGCACACACTCGTGTGGGCTGCAGTCCTTTAACTCAGTC